GCCTAGGAGTTGGAGATCAGCCTGGGCAACACAGTGAGATCCCATCTCAAAAAATAATTTTCTTTAATGGCTGACCCAGTGGCTCACCTGTAATCCCAACACTTTGGGAGGCCCAGGCAGGAGAATCACTTGAGACCAGGAGTTTGAGACCAGCCTAAGCAACACAGTGAAACTGCCTTCTCCGCAAAAGATTAAAAAATTAGCCAGGAGCTGGGCACAGTGGCTCACACCTGTAATCTTAGCACTTTGGGAGGCTCAGGCAGGTGGATTACCTGAGGTCGACAGTTTGAGACCAGCCTGACTAACATGGAGATACCCCATCTCTACTAAAAATACAAAATTAGCCGGACATGGTAGTACATGCCTGTTATCCCAGCTACTCGGGAGGCTGAGGCAGGAGGAGAATCGCTCGAACCTGGGAGGCGGAGGTAGCAGTGAGCCGAGACGGTGCCATTGCATTCTAGCCTGGGCAACAAGAGCGAAACTCCATCTCAAAAAAAAAAAAAAAGAAAAAGAAAAAGAAAAAAAGCCAGGTGCAGTGGCTCACGCCTGTAATCCCAGCACTTTGGGAGGCCGAGGTGGGCGGATCACAAGGTCAAGAGATCGAGACCATCCTGGCCAACATGGTGAAACCCTGTCTCTACTAAAAATACAAAAAAATTAGCTGGACGTGGTAGTGCACGCCTGTAGCACCAGCTACTTGGTGCGGGTGGGAGACCCTGCAAGTGCTGAGGCAAGGGTCTGAAGCCTCAGCCTGTTTCCACATAAATGATGAAATTAGAAATATAATCACATAGGTTATCATAGCTATAGATACTTACATATATACTCATTATAATCTTTTAATGTTGCTAATGCTTCTCGGGTTGCAAAGTGTGGACCTAAGGTGACACTGTGAAAGAAGTGACACTCAGGCAAGATGCTTTAAGCCCTTTGTCACACCCGTGTAAGGGCTGCTGGAGGGCGCCTCGGCTGTGCGGCAGCGCCAGTGCTGGGAAAGTGCCCGCCGTTTAGCCAGCTAGGGAAGGAAACATCTAAAATGGCCGAGACATCTCCTTCCCCAGAGGAGTTAGGAGAAAACTCCGCTTTCCAAAGCTCTTGCGGTGGGCCTGACGGCTGTCAGCAGACACCCAGGGGCTTAATTGTCTCTATGTGATGCTGTGCTTCATCAGTCACGTTCCATGTCCACTTTCATGACCACTTCTGCACCTGGTTCCTCTTTTTCTTAGAAGATATAATCAGTAAAAGTAACGTAAATCTTTTTTTTTTTTCCCAAGACGGGATTTCATCATGTTGGTCAGGCTGGTCTTGAACTCCCAACCTCAGGTGATCCACCCGCCTTGGACTCCAAAGTGTTATGATTGCAGGCGTGAGGCACCATGCTGGCCGAAAGTGACATAAATCTTAATGTCTTTATTCTTTCTTGACAAGTATGGAAAAGTGCTGACGCATTATACTCCTTACCTCATCTCAGGGACTTGAAAGCCCTGGGCCCCCATCCCTATGACACGTGCTGTACTTGACCCTATCACTGACCACCAATGCCTCGCCCTACCTACCCTGCCCCCTGCTTTGTACTCAACAAAAGTCAGAGTGTGCGGACACTTGGGGCCACTGCCGGACTCCGCGCTTTGGTTGGCAGTGGACCCCTGGGCCCAAACTGTGTTTTCTCTTTCTTGGTGTCTTGTGTCTTCTGTTTCCATGGTTTCTCATCTCTACTCCTGTAGAGAGGGGCTCACAGGACCCTATAGGGCTGGACCCTACACTCATGAGGCTGAGGCAGAATTGCTTGAACCCAGGAGGCGGAGATTGCAGTGAGCCAAGATTGTACCACTGCACTACAGCCTGGGTGACAGTGTGAAACTCTGTCTCAAAAAAAAAAAAAAATTAGCCAGAAGTGGTGGTGCATGCCTGTAGTCCCAAGTACTTGGGAGGCTGGGGCAGGAGAATGACTTGAGGCTGGGTGAGGCCCAAGTGAGGCTGCAGTGAGCTATGATTGCACCACTACACTCCAGCCTGGGGGAGGAGCAAGACCTCATCTCTATAAACAAACAAACAACAAAGTGTGCTAGCCTGTTCCACTTTCCAGCCTCTTGCTCGTTAGAAGGGTCTTCCATGGCTTCTACCACTTCTGTACCCTGAGTCACTCAAAGGAGGGTTCGTGCCTCCCGTATGAGACAGTTCCTCAGGCATCTGAAGCCAGTTTTCACGTCTTCCCTCCTCCTGCCCTACCCAACCTCTCTTCCCAGCCCGTTCTCTGTATCCAGTTTTTTTGTTTTTGTTTTTTGTTTTTTTGACAGAGTTTTCTCTTGTTGCCCAGGCTGAAGTGCAACAGCGCAATCTTGGCTTACCACAACCTTCGCCTCCCAGGTTCAAATGACTCTTCTGCCTCAGCCTCCTGAGTAGCTGGGATTACAGGCATGTATCACCACGCCCGGCTAATTTTGTATTTTTAGTAGAGACAGGGTTTCACCATGTTGGCCAGGATGGTCTCGATCTCCTGACCTCATGATCCACCCGACCTGGCCTCTGAAAGTGCTGGGATTACAGGCATGAGCCACTGCACTTGGCCCCTATCTAGTTTATCTTTTTATTTCTATTTTATTTTATTTTTATTATAAGGCAATGACACATTCTAAATCTAGTTTATCTTTAAGCTCCTAAAGCATCTGCTGGGATGTGTCTTCCTTTCCCACCCCATGGAGAACCATACTTGTCATCTGTAGGGTCCAGCAATACAGGGTCCTTTGAGCCCCTCTCTGCTGGTGTGGAGACAAGAAACTATAGAAATAAAAGACACAAGACACAGAGATAGAGAAAAGAGAGTCTGGGCCCAGGGACTGCCAACCAAAGCGTGGAGTCCTGCAGTGGCCCCGAGTGTCCCCACACTCTGACTTTTATTTCGTATAAAGCTGAGGGCAGGGTAGGTAGGGCGTGGCATTGGTGGTCAGTGATCGGGTCAAATACACCACGTGACACAGGGATGGGGGCCCAGCCAAGGCTTTCTAGTTGCCCAGATGAGGTAAGGAGCAGAATGCGTCAGCACTTTTCCATACTTGTCAGAAAAGAACAAAGACATTAAGATTTATATTACTTTTACTGATTATCTCTTCTAAGAAAAAAGGAACCAGGTGCAGAAGTGGAACGTGACCGATGACGCACGGCATCACATAGAGACAATTAAGCCCCCAGATGTCTGTGGGGGTCCCTGACAGCCGTCAGGCCCACTGCAAGAGCTTGGAGGAGGGGGTTTTTCTCCTAACTCCTCCTGGGAAGGGGACATTTCTGACATCTCCTTCCGAAGCCTGCAAAACAGCGGGTGCTTTCCCGCTGCGTAGCCAAGGCGCCCTCCAGCAGCCCTTTCAGGGGCGTGACAGAGGCTTAAAGCATCTTGCCTTAGGGTCATTCCTTTCACAATGGCACCCCAGGTTCACACTTTGCGACCTGAGAGGCATTAGTAAAAGAACTAAGATCACCTACGAATAAGTTCACATTGGAATAACTAAGGTCACAAATGAATAAGATCATCTATGAATACTACAGTTACGTCTCTAGTTATATTCTTCTTCATTATCTATATGGCAATAGGCTGAGGCTCCTGACTCCTGCCTTGGCACTTATGGGGTCTCCCCCTCACAGTCATCTGGGACTCTAGCGAGCTTTGAACATGGGTAGGAGTGGAGAGAAAATAGAAGAGGGAAAAGACTGCCCTTGCTTAGGCCTTGCCATCTAGGTATGGTACAAAGCCAGGAACTGACTTCAATGGAGTTATAATACAACCCATTCTAACAGCGAGAATGAAATAATTGGAAACTGGCCGAAGTGTCCAGGAAGGTCTAGCCAGCACTTAGGTGGCATGTGGATTGATGGGCAAGGGCTGGGGACAGTTCAAGGTGCAAAAGTAGAGAGACAAGGTCCTAGTTGAGGATGGCGGCCAGAGGGGCCCCATTGCCATGGGACCCACCCACCAAGTGTGGCTCTTCTGACTCCCTCACTCACCTGTCACACAGGGTCACCTCGGGTCTGTGCCTGACCTGCAGACAGCCAGAATGGAGAGGGAACAGGCCTCCCAGGAGGTAATCCCCGGGGAGGCTGAAGTCAGGAGAAGACTCCATGCTGTGGCAGGCAAAGGCCCGGCAGCAGGAAATCAAAAGCTGCAGGCCGGCCAGGTGAGCTATGCGGAGTAGCATCCTGGCCACACGCCCACGCCCAGCATGGCCAACCAGTGTCCCCTAAGGAGGCCAGTTGCTTAAATAGAAGGCGGCAGCCAATGCTTTCTAACTTCATGCCCCCGAAGGGGGTGGGGCTGGAGCCCGGTGGCTGCAGCAGGGCTGTTTGCCTTGGCATTCCGGGCCTGCGGTGCCACTCAGGAACTGGACAGGACCAAGGCACTGATGCAAAGCAGGAGGCACCCAGCGATCCTTCCTCTGGACGGCTGTGGGTTCTGTCCACGCTCTGGTGCCAGTGACTTCACCTGGCTCAGGAAGGAAGTCCTGGCATTTTGGGGCGAGGCGGGAGGCTGGGACACAACTTCTCCGGGTGTTGCGAGGTTTTAGAACTTTTTACCTGGGCCTCAGTTTTTGAGACACAGCTTTGAGTCGACACCCTCCTGCCCCCAGTCTCCAGTTTTCTAACATTAAGATTCTGAGCCAACCGTCTTGTACTTTCGCCTGGTTACCCAGCGTTGCTCACTTCGAGACAAATCCATGCAAACCGAAGGTATGCAAATAGACAGGTTTTGTTTAAACTGCCAATCCTAAAGCGTTTTCTGCAGGAGAAAAAAAATAAAATCCCGGGTGGATTTCCGGAGAGGTGGCCCTTGGCTGGTCTCGAGGTTTCTGGCTTTCTCTCCCCGGCAGGCTGGGGTAGAGAATTTGCATGATGTAAACGGAGTCCTCGGTGGGGTGGCGGAGCCCCCCGGCCCCACCCCCACCTCCCGCGACCAGGCCGGCGGGAGCCTCCCAGTGCGCTTCCGGAGGCTGCCGACAGAGGGCGCTGGCGGCTCCGAGGCTGCTCCTTTCGGCAGCTAGGCGGGCCGCAGGGCGGAGCGATGGGATCTCGCGAGATTCTCGCGCGGTAGGTGCTGAGCGCCCAGCATGGCGGACTCGGGGCGGCTGTTCAAGCGGGGTTCCTGCCGCTCCACTTGGCTGCGGGCCCGAAAGGCCCGGCCCCAGCTCATCCTCAGCCGCCGACCCCGCCGCCGGCTCTGGACCCTGCGTTGGTGCAGTCGGCGGCGCCTACGGAGGCGACTACTGCAAGCCCAGGCTGCCGGCGTGGACTGGAGGGAGGGAGTCCGCCAGGTGTCCCGCGTGGCGGCGGCCCGGAGACCCAAGACCGCGATCCCCAGCCCGATCCCTAGCCCGACCCCGGCCTCCGAACCCGAATTCGAATTCGAACCCTCCTCGCGTTGTCCCCGGCTCCTCCCCATCCCCCCGGTGCGGCCAGTGGGCCCTGGCCGTGCGTTGCTGCTGCTGCCAGTCGAACAGGTAAGTAAGGGGGGCCGGCAGGAGATCCCGAGGGCAGGGAGGGCTGGAGAGGCAACCCCAGGAGAGCTGCAGGCTGAGACGACCGTGGTTTCCAGGGCCTGTTAGGTCGGCTGCAAGTCGGTTTCAAGTCCATCCTGTTGGTGGTCTAGGCTCCCCTGAGCATCAGGGAAACAGGTACCCTGTAAAGGGGTCCCTAGGCCTTAAGAGCTAAAGGGACTTTATTTTATTTTTATTTATTTATTTATTTACTTATTTATTTTTGAGACAGAGTCTCACTCTGTCACCAGGCGCCAGGCTGGAGTGCAGTGGCATAATCTCGGCTCACTGCAACCTCCGCCTCCCGGGTTCAGGCAATTCTCCTGCCTCAGCCTCCTGAGTAACTGGGACTACAGGCATGCGCCGCCACCACGCCCAGCTAATTTTTGTATTTTTAGTAGAGACGGGGTTTCACCATGTTGGTCAGGATGGTCTTGATCTCTTGACCTCATGATCCGCCCGCCTCGGCCTCCCAAAGTGCTGGGATTACAGGCTTGAGCCACCGCGCCCGGCCTATTTATTTATTTTTTTGAGACAGTCTCACTCTTTCACCCAGGCTGTAGTGCTGCGGTGCGATCTCCGCTCACTGCCACCTCCGCCTCCGGGTTCAAGTGCTTCTTGTGCCTCTGCCTCCCGAGTAGCTGGGACTACAGGCGTGCGTCACCACACCCGGCTAGTTTTTGTATTTTTATTTTTCTTTCTTTCTTTTTTTTTTCCCTAAGACGGAGTCTTGCTTTTGTTGCCCAGGCTGGAGTTCAGTGGCGCAATCTCGGCTCACTGCAACTTCTCCCTCCCGGGTTCAAGTGATTCTCCCGCCCCTCCTGCCTTAGACTCCCGAGTAGCTGGAATTATAAGTGTTCGCCACCATGTCCGGCTGATTTTTGTACTTTTACTAGAGATGGGGTTTCGCGTGTTGGCCAGGCTGGTCTTGAACTCCTGACCTCAGGTGATCCGCCCATCTCAGTCCCCTAAAGTCCTGGGATTACGGGATTACAGGCGTGAGCCACCACGCCCGACGATTTTTATTTAATTTGAGAGGGAGTTTCACTCTTGTTGCCCAGGCTAGAGTGCAGTGTCGCAATCTCAGCTCACGGCAGCCTCCACCTCCAGGGATCAAGTGATTCTCCTGCCCCAGCCTCCCAAGTAGCTGGGATTACAGGTGTTCACCACACTCCTGGCTAACTTTTGTGAGGTTTTTTTTTTTTTTTTTTTGAGACGGAGTTTCGCTCTTGTTGCTCAGGCTGGAGTGCCATGGCAGTCTCGGCTCACCCAAACCTCTGCCTCCTGGGTTTAAGAGATTCTTTTGCCTCAGCCTCCTGAATAGCCGGGATTATAGGCATGTGCCACCATGCCCAGCTAATTCTGTATTTTTAGTAGAGACGGGGTTTCTTCATGTTGGTTAGGCTGGTCTCGAACTCCCGACCTCAGGTGATCCGCCCGCCTCAGCCTCCCAAAGTGCTGGGAATACAGGTGGGAACCACTGTACCTGGCCTAATTTTTGTATTTTTAGTAGAGATGGCGTTTCACCATGTTGGCCAGGCTGAAGTGATTCTCTTGCTTTAGCCTCCCAAAGTGCTGGGATTACAGATGGGAGCCCGGCCGCCCTGCCCTGAAAGGGACTTTAATAGTAAAAAAAAACAGAACAAAACAGGCCAGGCGCGGTGGCTCATGCCTGTAATCCCAGCACTTTGGGAGGCCGAGGCGGGCAGATCACAAGGTCAGGAGATCGAGACCATCCTGGCCAACATGGTGAAACCCTGTCTTTACTGAAAATAGAAAAATTAGCTGGGTGTGGTGGCACGCACCTGTAATCTGAGCTACTTGGGAGGCTGAGGCAGTAGAATCACTTGAACCTGGGAGGCGGAGGTTGCAGTGAGCTGAGAGCATGGCTACTGCATTCCAGCTTGGGTGACAGAGCAAGACTCTCTCAAAAAAAAAAAAAAAAAAACACACACACACACATATATGTATGCACAAGACTCTGTCTCAAAAAACACACACACACGTGCACGTACGTATGCCAGGCACAATGGCTCATGCCTATAATCCCAGCACTTCGGGAGGCCAGGATGGGTGGATCATGAGGTCAGGAGTTCGAAACCAGCTTTGCCAACGTAGTAAAACCCTATCTCTACTAAAAATACAAAAATTAGCCAGGCATGGTGGTGCGCGCCTGTAGTTCCAGCTACTAGGGAGGCTGAGGCAGGAGAATGATTTGAACCCAGGAGGCAGAGGTTGCAGTGAGCAGGTATTGCACCACTGCATTCCAGCTTGGGCGACAGAGTGAGACTTTGTCTCCAAAAGAAAAGTTTAAAAAAATATATATATATATATATATATGAAGTACGGGCCGAGCACGGATGACTCACACCTGTAACCCCAGCCCTTTGGGAGGCTGAGGTGGGCAGATGAACTGAGGTCAGGAGTTCAGGACCAGCCTTGCCAACATGGCAAAACCCCGTCTTTACGGAAAAATACAAAAATTAACCAGGCAAGGTGGTGTGTGCCTATAATCCCAGCTACTCGGGAGGCTGAGGCATGAGCATTGCTTGAACTCAGGAAGTGGAGGTTGCAGTGAGCCAAGATCACACCACTGCACTCCCGCCTGGGTGACAGAACGAGACTCTGTCTCAAAAACTAAATCAATAAATAAAGTACGTTATAGTCACCTAGTACAATGTGATCCGTTACTTATCTGTTACTTGGAAATCAGTTACCTTTTTAAATTATTTTATTTTTCCTAAACTTTTTTATTTTTTATTTTATTTTATTTTTAAAAGACGGGGTTTTACCATATTGGTCAGGCTGATCTCGAACTTCTGACCTCAGGTGATCTGCCCGCCTCAGCCTCCCAAAGTGCTGGGATTATAGGCGTGAGCCACTGCACCTGTCTATTTTTCTTCAACTTTTAAGTTCCGGGGTGCATATGCAGCAGGATGTGCAGGTTTGTTACATAGGTAAATGGGTGCTTTGGTGGTTTGCTGCACAGATCAATGCCTCACCTAGGTATTAAGCCCAGCATCCATTAGCTGTTCTTCCTGATGTCCTTCCCCCAGACCTCCACAGGCCCCAGAGTGTGTTGTTACCCACCATGTATTCACGTGTTCTCATAGTTCAAATCCTACTTATAAGTGAGAACATGCTGTGTTAGGTTTTCTGTACTTGAATTACTTTGCTGAGGATGACAGCTTCCAGCTCCATCCATGTGCCTGCAAAGGACATGATCTCGTTCCTTTTTATGACTATACGCTTTCTAAAATGTTTGTTTAATTTTTATTTATTTATTTGAGACAATATCACTCTGTTGCCCAGGCTGCAGTGTAGTGGCATGATCTCAGCTCACTGCAACCTCTGCCTCTGGATTCGAGCGGTTCTCATGCCTCAGCCTCTGGAGTAGCTGGGATTACAGGCAAATGCCCAGCTAATTTTTTGTAATTTTAGTAGAGATGGTGGGGGTGGGGGTGGGGGTCAGGTAGAGGGGAGTTTGCCACATTGTCCATGCTGGTCTCAAACACCTGGCCTCAAGTGATTTCCCCCAACTCCTCCTCCCAGAGTTCTGGGATTATAGGTGTAAACCATGATGCCGGGCCCAGTATTTATTATTGATGGAATGCAGTGGTGTAATTATAGCTCACTGAAGCCTTTGCCTCCCAGACTCAAGCAGTCCACCCACCTCAGCCTCCCAAGTAGCTAGGACCACAGATGCATGCCACTGCACCCCTGCTAAATTTTAAATGTTTTGTAGAGAGAGAGGTCTTACTGTTGCCCAGGCTGATCTTGAACTCCTAGGCTTATGTGATCCTCCTGACACAGCTTCCCAAAGTATTGGGATTACAAGTGTGAGCTACTGTGCCTGGTCTTACCTGCCTTTTGATGTAGGAATAGCAAGTTAAAATTTTAGAATGTTTCAGTCATGGCCAGTTGCAGTGGCTCACGCCTTTAATCCCAGCACTTTGGGAGGCCAAGGCGGGCGGATTACCTGACGTTGGGAGTTCGAGAGCAGCCTGAGAAACTCCATCTCTAGTAAAAGTACAAAAATTAGCCGGGCGTGGTGGCGGATTCCTGTAATCCCAGCTACTCAGGAGGCTGAGGCAGGGGAATTGCTTGAATCTGGGAGGCGGAGGTTTGAGTGAGCCGAGATTGGGCCATTGCGTTCCAGCCTGGGCAACAAGAGCAAAACTCTGTCTCAAAAAAAAAAAAGAAGGGCCGGGCGCAGTGGCTCAAGCCTGTAATCCCAGCACTGTGGGAGGCCGAGGCGGGTGGATCACGAGGTCAAGAGATCGAGACCATCCTGGTCAACATGGTGAAACCCCGTCTCTACTAATAATACAAAAAATTAGCTGGGCATGGTGGCGCGTGCCTGTAGTCCCAGCTACTCGGGAAGCTGAGGCAGGAGAATTGCCTGAACCCAGGAGGCGGAGGTTGCGATGAGCCAGCCTGGGTAACAAGAGCGAAACTCCATCTCAAAAAAAAAAAAAAAAAAGAACGTTTCAGTCCTTAGTGACAGGATCTATAATATTTGTTGTTTCTGTTTTCTTTCCCTGCTAGGGTTTTACTTTTAGTGGCATCTGTCGTGTGACTTGCCTCTATGGCCAGGTGCAGGTATTTGGTTTTACCATCAGCCAAGGCCAGCCTGCCAAAGACATCTTCTCTGTGTATACCCACTCTTGCCTGACTATCAATGCACTTCATTACTCGATGCCTGAGAAAAGCAAGAAGGAACTCAAAAGGGAAGCCCGGATGTTGCTCAAATCTCATCTTAACCTGGGTAATAAAAAGAACTGGGTAATAATTTACTGAGGACCTACTGTAATAAGGCTAATTAATAATTTTTCCATGCTTACTATGATCTAGACATTGTGCTGAGAACTTTGCTATATATCTATATAGACCCATACAAGGGTCCTGAGAGTGAGAATACTGTTATTTTCACCATTTTACAGACAAGAAAAATTGTTCAAGTCCACAAAGTTATTATGTGACAAACCTAGATTGACTTCTCCTCCCAGGTGTGACCTTAGTATGCAATATGACCCCCTGAAAAAGGCTCTCAGCTGTAATGCCTACTCTCCTAAGGTTTGTAGTTTAGCCGAGGAGATGGCAGTCCTAAAGGCTGTGGAATGTAATGAAATTACTGCTTCTAAGGTGGTTTATTTTTCTCTTTACAGATGACAGGCGTTGGTCGATGCAGAACTTTTCTCCTCTGTGTTCCATTGTGTTGCTGGAACATCTGAAAACTACCGCTGTGAACTTCATAACCAGCTATCCAGGTGCATCCTACGTTTTTGTGCAAGAGGTAGAACCCGTTTTCTTTCAGAGTTTTGCTAATGACTTGCACCAAAACAGTGATATCAAATGACTATGCATGATGTTGTCTTGGAAGAGCAGTTTGTCTGTCACATGAGTGCTCTCGGCCCTCTCCCAGGCACTTCCTCCAGCCACTACGTAGGTCCTACAGAATGTAATACGTGTTTATGGAAAATGGTACAGAAAGGTATATCATGAAAAATGTTCATCCCCCCTTAGGTTTATTCCTCAGTGAAAGCCACCATTTTATATTGTAGTTGGTTAAGTGCTTTTTGGGTTTTTATTAGCATCACACTCTAACCAACTGAACTGAGCTAACCAGCCCTGCTTTTTTGGGTGTTTTGTTTTTTAAACAGAGTCTCACTCTGTTTCCCAGGCTGGAGTGCAGTGGCACGGTTTCTGCTCATGAACTCCTGTGCTCAAGGATCCATCTGCCTCCAAAAATGCTGAATTACAACGTGAGCCACCGGGTGCGGCCTCACCTCTAAATTTTTGCTGGCCGTATTATTCATTTCCATCAGTTCTATTACTGTAATTGTCTCTCATGGGCCAGAAGGTGGAGTCTAATCTACAGGATTGGCAGACAGACTGGACATGTGAGGTGTGAGGAAAAATCAAGGAATCACAGCAGGTTTTTTGGCTTAACCACTGAGGTGCACGTAGTCCCGTTGTTGGGGACACTGCAGGAGGAGTGCGTTTCTATTTGTTAACTTTGAGGTGCCTGGTAGACACCCACCTGGACGTGTCAAGTGGGCAGTTGAATATGTGAGTCTGGAGTTCAGGGAAGAGTTGGGAGGTGTAAATATGGGAATGGGAGCCTTCAGCAGAGAGGATACCCAGGCCGCCAGATTCGATAATAATGCTGATGGAGTTGAATAGGTCGAAACAAGACAGTTCCAGCTCTGAGTACTGGGGCACTCCAAGAAAAGGTCCAGGCAAAGAGGAGGGAGCAGAAGACATTCATCAGGGTTGGCTAAAAACCCAGTGTGTGATGTCCTGTAGGTCAGGAAGTCTTTGAAGGAGACTTAACTGAACAGTGGTGACAGATGCTGCTGGTGGTCAGGTGAGAGCTGAGAAAGCACCATCTGTAGAGAGTGGGAAGTAGCCTGATTGGAGCAGGGTCAGGAGCCTGGGTGGAGAGGGACTCCTGAGTTTGGTAAAAGGTAGCGGTAAAGGGAAGGAAAGAAATGAAGTAGTAGTTGGGTAAGTATGATCAGGAGAGTTTTGCAATTTTGTTAAGATGGATGAAAAAAATTTGCTGGGACATGGCAGATGGGAATGATACAGAGGAGGAGAGGAGGTGGCCAAGCAACAGAGGATGCTGGAACTATGTCTGTAACTTGGCTACCAGGAATGGGTCTGGTTCTGGCATCATGTGGCCTTAGGAGCACAGCCAGGTCATTCATGGTGGCTACAGGAAGTGCCTAGGAGAGGGCCAGAGGAAGCAGAAGGTGTCCTCTGATTATTTCCTGCTGCACTGGGAAATGGAATCAAGGTCATCACTGCGTGGGAAGCAGATAGATACGAGGTGGGTGTCAGGAATCTGAAGTGAAAGGAGAGAGGAAATGAGAGTGGGACAGTGAACGGACTGTTGTGATTGCCTGTTAGTCACTCAGAGTCCAGTAGCTGGACCACGACTGCAGAGGAGGGGATGCAGTTGCCTGCTGCCAAGCGTTTGCTGCTGAACATGAATGCTCCAGACACCATGGGGAAGTCACCTTCTTTTTTCATTTATTTTCAGCTTTATGTGTTGTTTCTGGGACTTCACCACCACTGTTCATATTTCTTTTTTTTTTTTTTTTTTTTGAGACAGAGTTTCGCTCTTGTTACCCAGGCTGGAGTGCAATGGCGCGATCTCGGCTCACCGCAACCTCCGCCTCCTGGGTTCAGGCAATTCTCCTGCCTCAACCTCCTGAGTAGCTGGGATTACAGACACGCGCCACCATGCCCAGCTAATTTTTTGTAGTTTTAGTAGAGACGGGGTTTCACCATGTTGACCAGGATGGTCTCGATCTCTTGACCTCGTGATCCACCCCCCTCGGCCTCCCAAAGTGCTGGGATTACAGGCTTGAGCCACCGCGCCCGGCCCCACTGTTCATGTTTCTTATGCTCTTTCTTGGATACTTCCCTCCCTATCCCGTCTTCTGGATGTCAGTAGGTTCTGAAGTTGTTTTTTTTCACATAAGGGAGAGCGTAAACTTGATTATCTAATTTTGTTAAATGTTCTTTTGCCCTCAGTGATTGGTAGTTGCACACAGTATAGAATGGGTGGTCAGAAGCCTTTTTTCTCAAATTGTTAAAGGCTGCATTCCATTGTTTTCTAGAATGCAGCATTGCCAATAGGAAGCCTCTTACTAGGCTGCTTCTCATTTCTTTTTCTTTTTTTTTGAGATGGAGTCTCACTCTGTCACCCAGGCTGAAGTGCAGTAGCACGATCTTGGCTTACTGCAACCTTTGCCTCCTAGATTCAAGTGATTCTTCTGCCTCAGCCTCTCAAGTAGCTGTGACTACAGGTGTGCACCACCATACCCGGCTAATTTTTGTAGCTTTTTTTTCTTTTTTTAGAGATGGGGGTCTGGCTATGTTGCCCAGGCTGGAGTACAGTGGCTATTCACAGGCGTGATCCCACTACTGATCAGCATGGGAGTTTTGACCTGCTCTGTTTCCAACCTGAGCTGGTTCACCCCTCCTTAGGCAACCTAGTGGTCCCCCACTTCTGGGAGGTCACCATATTGATGCCGAACTTAGTGTGGACACCCAGTCGGCATAGCACACTGTAGCCCAGAACTCCTGGTCTCAAGCCATCCTCCCACCTCAGTCTGCTGAGTAGCTGGGACTACAGGCACGTGCCATCACGCCTGGCAATTTTTGTAGTTTTCATAGAGATCGGGTTTCTCCATATTGGCCAGGCTGGTCTTGAAGTCATGACCTCATGATCTGCCTGCCTCAGCCTCTCAAGAGTGCTGGGATTACAGGCTTGAGCCACTGCGCCCAAATTCTTTATGATGTCTTTATTCTCAGGGTTGATGAATTGCAAGAGGATGTGCTCATGGGAGGGTCCCTTCCTTCATCCTCTTCTGTGGTGAGCTGGTTCCATCTGAGCCTTACCTGCTTCAGCAAGAGCCTGCTCTTCCTTTCCGTGGGTTGCTTTTCCAGTCCTTCTGGACTTCACAGACACGTCTTCTCCCTCCTTTCAACACTGCTTGCATGTGTTCTATGCGTTTTTGCTTTCTGTTGTCAGAGGTTGCCTTGACTTGATTCTACGTCACCCCCCCCAGTCTAGAGCCAGGCCTCCTGCTAAAGGTACCTTGTGCAGTCATGCCTCGCCAGGCATTTTCTTTTTCCCATTAGTCTCCTGCAGAGGCAGTGGCAGCTCAGGGAAAGCAGAAACTGTGAAAACAGGCGTGAACCACTTTAGGAATAAATAGAGTTGGCAACACGTGTGGCTGGGTTGGATTTTGGGGCACAAGACAAAGGAAGGACATAATTTATCTTCTCTGGCCCACAACTCTATGAGGCTTGTTTAATTTAGTACTGAAGAAAAAAAATGTGCCTTTTTTCACCTTAAAGTTTAAATTGTTGATTTCAGAGTCCGTCTCCCCAGATTAATCCTGAACATTTAGCCTTGAGGTCTGTTGGCATCAGAAAAGAGAAAAAAAGGAAAGGCCTTCAGTTAACTGAGAGTACCCTGTCAGCCCTGGAAGAGGTGGTCAGTGTTTCCTGTGGTGAGTAATACACATTGATCGTTCTCAGTTCTGTTCACCAAACCCCCAGAGGATTATTACTGATAATTCGTGTCCAAGGAAGATGGCTAATTCTAGGAATCAATGTTTGTTTCCCCTGCAGAAGAAGTAGATGGCTGCCCTGTCATTCTGGTTTGTGGATCCCAGGATGTCGGAAAGTCAACATTTAATAGATACCTGATTAACCAGTTGTTAAATAGGTAAGAGTGCTTTTCTTACGGCCTTGACACATTGCTAGGTTTTTGGCATGAAGTGGGATTTTTTGTTTGGTTGGAGTGCTTCTTGGTTTCTAGCTGGAGATGACATACAGTTCTAAAGCTGCCCAGCCGAAGCATCTGCTTCTCACTGCTCTCTGTTTTGCAGTATGTGACAGTGCTCTAGTGTGGGCTGACTTGCCCTTGCCTTCAGGGAACTTCCGAGAGGAGACACTTGGTCTCAAAGTCTGTATTTATAAGTTCTGTTGTGTGTGTGCATGGTTTGGTTTGTTTTGTTTTACCCACCAACTTCACCTCCCAAAGCCGTGTGTGTATGTTTTAATTTTTTTTTCAGAAAGGGTCTCCCTCAGGCTGGAGTGCAGTGGCACAGTCATGCTTCACTATAGCCTTGAACTGGGCTCAAGTGATCCTCCTGCCTCAGCCTCCTGAGTAACTGGGACTACAGGCATGGACCACCGTGCCCAGCTAATTTTTTTATTTTAACTTTTTGTAGCGATGAGTTCTTGCTATGTTGCCTAGTCTGATCTTGAACTCCTGGGAATTTTAATTTTTTTTTTTGAGACCAAGTCTGGCTGTGTTGCCCAGCCAAAAGTACAGCAAACATGGCTTGCCGCAGCCTCGACCTCCTGGGTTCAAGCAGTCCTCCCGCTTCAGCCTCCCAAGTAGTTGGGATCACAGTAACACACCACCACACCTGGCTAATTTGTTTTGTTTTGTTTTTGTAGACAGGAGGTTGCTGTGTTGGCCAGGCTGGTCTTGAGCTCCTGGGCTCAAGCAGTCCTCCGACCTTGGCCTCACAAAGTGCTGAGATTACAGGTATGAGCCACCGTGCCAGACCTGAAATTTTACCTTTAAAACACAACAGAGGTAGGTTATGGTGGCTTACATCTGCAGTCCCAGAACTTTGGGAGGCCAAGGTGAGAGGATTATTTGAGCCAAGGAGTTCAAGTCTACAGTGAGCTATGTCACACGACTGCCCTCCAGCCTGGGCGACAGATTAAGACTCTGTCTCAAAAAAAAAAAAAAAAAAATTCAGGCCAGGTGCAGTGGCTCACACCTGTAATCCCAGCACTTTGGGAGGCTGAGGCAGGTGGATCATTTGAGGTCAGGAGTTCAAGACCAGCCTGGCATACATGGTGAAACCCCATCTCTACTAAAAATACAAAAATTAGCCAGGCATGGTAGTGGGCACCTGTGATCCCACCTACTCCGGAGGCTGAGGCAGGAGGATTGAATGAACCGGGGAGGGGGAGGTTGCAGTGAACCAAGATCACGCCATTGCACTTCGGCCTGGGCAACAGGGTGAGACTCCATCTTAAAAAAAAAAATTCTCTGAAAGACCAAGTCATCCCCATGTTATGAATGGACAGTGTGACCATGCCTGCACCACATTTTCTCTTGACTTGTTTTTATTTTTTATTTTTTGGCATGCCCATCTTAGGGTCTGCTCTGGGATCTCTTGACTTATTTTTAATCACTGATTGTCATCTTTGGGGCATCACTTCTAAAGGGCTGCGTGGTGTGGATTATCCCTGTGTATCACATGAAATCTTGACTGTCTGATTATGCTTTCTACAGAGTAAAGCTAGTTAGGATTTTCTTTCTTTTTTCTTTTTTAACAATTTGCAGTCTTCCCTGCGTTGACTATTTGGAATGTGATCTGGGACAGACAGAATTTACCCCTCCTGGTTGCATTTCTTTACTTAATATTACAGAACCAGTTCTGGGTATGTATTATGTATTTCTCGAATGTCTTGGTTTTATAAAATTCATATGTAATGATGCTTACGGAAACTAAAAAAAATAGAACAGTATAAAATATTAAAAGTGAACATGTGGCCGGGCGCGGTGGCTCAAGCCTGTAATCCCAGCACTTTGGGAGGCCGAGGCGGGTGGATCACAAGGTCAAGAGATCGAGACCATCCTGGTCAACACGGTGAAACCCCGTCTCTACTAAAACTACAAAAAATTAGCTGGGCATGGTGGCGCGTGTCTGTAGTCCCAGCTACTCAGGAGGCTGAGGCAGGAGAATTGCCTGAACCCAGGAGGTGGAGGTTGCGGTGAGCCGAGATCGCGCCATTGCACTCCAGCCTGGGTAACAAGAGCGAAACTCCGTCTCAAAAAAATAAATTAATTAATTAAAAAAAATAAAAGTGAACATGTGCCTACCAAACACATGGTCTTTCCATAACTGCTCCTCTAACCTCCAAAAAACAAACCATGGTCCTTTTCCATCTTAGGAAATGGAACTGCTATTCATTTTGTGTTATGTAAATTAGAAACACATCTTTCCCTAATATCACATCTTATGTACAACTATCTAACCCAAGAAATGAACACGGAATCAATACTGTTCATCAAGCCAGATATGATGGCTCAAACTTGTAATCCCAGCACTTTGGAAGGCCGAGGCAGGCGGATCACCTAAGGTCAGGAGTTTGAGACCAGCCTGGCCAACATGGTGAAACCCTGTCTCTACTAAAAGTAGAAAAATTACCTGGGCATGGTGGTACATGCCTGTAGTCCCAACTACTCAGGAGGCTGAGGCAGGAAAATCGCTTGAACCCGGGAGATGGAGGTTGCAGTGAGCCTAGATCATGCCATTGCACTCCATCCTGGACAACAGAGCAAGACTCGTCTCAAGAAAAACTCCAAAAAACAAAAATTGGCTGGATTTGGTGGCACGTACTTATAGTCCCAGCTACTCGGGAGGCCAAGGCAGGAGAATTTGAACCCAGGAGGTGGACGTTGCAGTGAGCCAAGATCATGCCACTATACTCCAACCTGGGCAACAGAATGAGATTCTATCTCAGAAAAAAAGAAAGTACTGTTACCCAGTCTACAGATTTTATTGAAAATTCAGCAGTTACCCTGATGTCGTTTATCTGGTTCAGAACCCACAATTCTTCATCGCTTTTTTTTTTAATGATATAGAACACTTCATGAATTTGCATGTCATCCTTGTGTAGGCCCTTTGCCAGTCTTCTCTGTATCATTCCAGATTTTAGTGTATGTGCTGCTGAAGTAAGTACCACATTGCTTTTTCTTTTTTCTTTTTTTGAGATGGAGTCTTGTTCTATCGCTCAGGCAGACTGGAGTGCAGTGGCACGATCTATGCTCACTGTAACCTCCGCGTCCTGGGTTCAAGCGATTCTCCTGCCTCAGCCTCCTGAGTAGCTGTGACTACAGGTACGCATCACGATGCCCAGCTATTTTTTATATTTTTAGGAGAGATGGGGTTTCACCATGTTGGCCAGGCTGGTCTTGAACTCCTGACTTCAGATCATCCACTCACCTCTGACTCCCAGAGTGCTCGGGTTATAGGCATGAGGCACTGTGCCTGGCCACAACTTTTTTGTTGTGTTTGCAACATGGTGAGACCCTGTCTCTACACAAAATTTAAAAATTAATTGGGTGTGGTTTTTTGTCATCCCAAAATGAACACTGTACTCATTAAAGAATAACTTCCCCTGGGAGGCTGAGGCAGGAGAATCACTTGAACCCAGGAGGCAGAGGTTGTGGTGAGCTGAGATGGCACCATTGCACGCCAGCCTGGACAACAGGAGCGAAACTTTGTCTCAAAAAAAAAAAAAAAAAAAAAAAAGGGCCGGGCGCGGTGCCTCAAGCCTGTAATCCCAGCACTTTGGGAGGCTGAGGCGGGTGGATCATGAGGTCAAGAGATCGAGACCATCCTGGTCAACATGGTGAAACCCTGTCTCTACTAAAAATACAAAAAATTAGCTGGGCATGGTGGTGCGTGCCTATAATCCCAGCTACTTAGGAGGCTGAGGCAGGAGAATTGCCTGGACCCAGGAGGCGGAGGTTGCGGTGAGCCGAGATCGCGCCATTGCACT